TTGAGTTTCTCTTTCTTCCTAGTTTACTGAGAGTTTTCATCATGAATGACTGCTGTATTTTGTCAAATGCTTTTTCTACCTGTTGATAGGATCATGTGATTTTTCTTTTTTGGGCTGCTGATGTGATGGATTATATCGACTGATTTTTGAATGTTGAACCAGCCTTGAATACCTCAGATAAATCCCACTTTTTTATGGTGTATAATTTTAATATTTTTTTGATTTGACTTGCTAATATTTTGTCGAGGACTTTTGCATCTATGTTCATGAGAGATACTTGTCTGTAGTATTCTTTTCTTGTAATGCCTTTGTCTGGTTTTGGTAGTAAGGGAATGCTGGCCTCATAGAATGAATTAAGAGGAACTGTTCCCTCTGCTTCTATCCTCTGAAAGAGATGGTAGGGGATTGGTATAATTTCTAACCTACAGGTATATGTTTAGTAGACTCTACCAGTGGCCCCATCTGTGCCTCGTACTTTCTGATTTGGAAGGTTATTATTGATGCAATTTATTTAATAGATACAGGCCTATTCAGACCATCTTTTCTCCTTGTGTTAGTGTTTGCAGATTGTGTCTTTCAAGGAACTGGTCCATTTTATCTCAGTTATCAAATTTGTGGTCATAGAGTTTTTCAAAGGATTCCTTTATTATCTGTTTGATTTCCATGTCACCTGTAGTGATTTCCTCTTTAATTTTTTACATTTATAACTGGTCTCTTCTCTCTTTTTTTCCTAGTTAGCCACCACAGAGGCTTATTGAATTTAATGATCTTCTCAAAGAACCAGATTTTGTTTCTCCTGGTTTTCTCTGTTGATTTTCTATATTTAGTTTCATTGATTTCTGCTCTAATTCTTATTATTCATTCTGCTTGCTTTGGAATTATTTTGGTCTTCCTAATATATACATTCAGTGCCCTAAACTTTCCTCTAAGTACCAGTTTCCCTGCATATAACAACTTATGATATATTGTATTATAGTTTTAATTTAGTTCAAAATATTTTAAAATTTCTGCTGAGATTTCTTCTGAGCCCCATGTGTTATTTAGAAGTGTGTTGTTTAAACTCCAAGTGTTTGGGGATTTTCCAGTTATATCGATAATTCATTTCTACTTCAATTCCATTTTGGTCTGGACATTGTATGATTTTTATTATTTTAAATGTATGAAAATGTGTTTTATGGCCCAGACTGTGGTCTGTCTTGGTGAGTGTTCCGTGTGAGCTTGAGAAGAATGTATATTCTGTTGCTGTTGGATAAAGCAGTCTGTAGATGTATATTTTATCCAGTTGATTGGTGGTGCTGCTGAGTTCCACTGTGTCCTTCCTGAATTTCTGCCTGGATGTGTCCATCTGTGATAGAGGGGTGTTGAAGTCACCAACTATGACACTGGGTTCATCTGTTTCTCCTTGCACATCTATCTGTTTTTGTGTCATGTAGTTTTTTTGTTAGGTGCATACGCATTAATGTCTTTCTTCTTGGAGAATTGACTCCTTTATCATTATGTAATGTCCTTCTTCATCCCTGGTAACTTCCTTTCCTTTGAAGTCTACTTTGTCTGAAATTAATATAGATACTTCTACTTTCTTTTGATTAATATTAATGTGGTATATTTTTCTTCATCCATTACTTTCTAATCTATATGTGTCTTTATATGTCAAGTTTCTTGTAGACAAGATATAGTTGGGTTGTGTTTTTTGCTGCACTCTGACAATATCTATCTTTTAATTGGTGCAGTTAGACCATTGACCAAGTGATACTGATATAATTGGATTAATATCTACCATATTCATTACTATTTTTTTATTTATTGCCCTTGTTTTTTGTTCCTATTTTTATCTTCCACTCTTTTCCTGGCTTTTGTGTCTGACCCATTTCATACAGTTATGTACAATACTTTGATCCTTTCTTTTTGAATTACATAAGTGGTATTTGTTTACTGTGATGTAATTGAAACAGGACAAGCATGTCGAAAGTAAAAATTGTTACTGAAAACAACGGTGATCCTACCCCAGGGGAACCTTCTCTCCTAGGCTGAGAGGGCAGCTGGGAGGGGCGGCGGGGTCAGAGGATGCCTGGGTCGGGGCTGGGGAGTGCGGGCGGGCGTGTGAAGGCAGCAGCGTCAGGGGAACGAGACCTGCCCAGGAGGGGCAGTGCCAACAGAAGGACATGGGCAGGGTGGGGTGTGGAAGGGGCACTGAGCAGCTGAGAAGAGAAAGTTAATTTTTATCTCTATGTTAAGGTTCACTTCTTAGGGACTTACAGGGAAGGAACTTAAGGAGATATTCAATGAGCTTGCGCAGCTGAATGTGTGTGGTTAAAGTACAATCCAGTATTTATTTATTTGTCAGGGCTATTTATAACCTGCTTCTGGTTTGGACAAGTTGTTTTGGCCCTGATGCTCCAGGCTCATTTAGGCCACATAACGCTGTTTACCTTCTGGGGGGTGGGGGGTAACATGCAGGATCCAGTGATCAAGTGCTTTTGTAAGCCCTGAAAATAGAGCGCACTGTGGGTGAGCTCAGTATTCTGCATCACAATAGTCAACATCTGACAGCCAGCTGCTTTCTCCTGCCCTTTCACTAGAGGAGCAAGAAACTTTCTTGATGCAAATCAGTGCGGAGTCCTTGCAGAAGGGAGGAGCTTAAAGCTCTTGAGAACCTTAAATCAGCATACGTTCTTTAATTTGGGCACCTGGCTGGCACTGGGCAGGCAGATACGAGGTGAGGCAGCAGGCTTGACCCTGCTATGTGTTAGAATTTTAAAGATCCGAACGCTCAGGCTCACCCCAGACCAGTCAGTAGGGTGGGTCCAGGCAGTGTTATGTTCTAAAGCTCCCCAGGAGGTTGTAGTCTGGGTCCAAGGTTGAGAAGTCCTTCTGGAAGGGCCACGCTGGCTGGTCCTGGCCTGCCTCCAGCCTTCTGAGCAGCGGGTGGGGAGGGGCTGCGGCACTCAGATGCACGGAGACCTGAATGTTACCAATGTAGTTACATTGTTTTTGGAGTTTCTGTGGTTCTGGAATACTGCAAACATTTGTTCAAATGTCACTATATAAATTTTTTAAATTGTCATGGAAGGAGTACACAGTGAAAATGTTATACAGCAAAAAAAGTGTTATACGGCAAAGTTTAGCATACTGTAACTAATGAGCTGTCTTCTCGATGGCTTTCAATAGAGAAATGAATGCTGTCAGCCAGAATGTATCAGTCAGTCCACACACCACTTTGATCTGCTGATAGGTCGTTCCTCCACCCCACTTTTTCAGTTTCCCTGCTTCTGCTGCTGAAACTGAGATGCGGTTCTGTGGAAGGTTTTGTTTGGGAGGCAAGGTTCTGTGCACAGAAGCATGTACAAGCCACGAGCCTTTCCTTGTAGGGCCTCTTTGAAAGTCGGTCATTTTGCATATTACATCCGGTGCTTTGAGCATGGGGGTGGGGCTGAGAGCCTTGCCCACTAGGACCTGGGCTGTCCAGGTTGCTCACCAGCTGGGTCCCAGTCAGTGAGGTTTACAGGGGGACGGGGGCGCGCTCCGGGCTGGGGTTCCGTTTGGGAGGGGGAGGGGCCTGCATTGGTGGGTAACCCAGAGGTAGTTGTCATTGTCTAGAGGCCACTGGAACGTCTTTAAATGATCACTGCCCAAATCCTGTCCTCTGTGGATCCTGAGGTACAACGCGTTCCAGCCAGAAGGTGTCTCAGCTGGCAGCCTTTACTGGGGACAGTTGTGGGCTGGGCCCTGTGTGGAGGCTTGATGGACTTTCTCTCATTCAGTCTCCTTGAGAACTCCGTGAGGCACACATTAGCAGCCCCGTCTTACAGACGAGGACAGGAGGCTCAGAGAGGTTAAGTAACTTACCCAAGGTCACAGCTCATAAGTGACAAAGCCGTCACTGGCACACATGCTAGTCTGCTCTAAAGCCTTCTTGGAAATCATTTGAGTGATGAGGAGATCAAGGTCCCCAGGGAAGAGCATGCGTCCAGGGTGACTGGCCAGTTGCGGTTCCCAGCAGCGCAGTGTCCAGGCCTTGCCTGCTCCTCCTCCGCGCAGCCATGCCCAGCGGCTGCCCTGGGTGAGGCCGAAGGCCTGTCCCCTCCCACCTTCTCAGCGGCTTGGGCGGGATCAGCGCTGTGCTGACATGGAGTGAGAAATGAAACCCACCGTATCTCCCCAGGCCATGGTCTTCAAGGAGACTGCGTTCAGAAAAACATGGGGAAGGCGGGCAGAGGCCACCCTGGGGAAGCAGTTCCCAGCCAGGAGGCGGGGCCAGGGGGCGAACCAGAGTTGCGATCTCAAGGGCAGCCTTACTTTCTTGCCACCCGTCTGTGCACTCAGCTACCCCTGTGGTCAGTGTGTGGGCACGTGGGCAGCAGGAACTGGCTCCCACCCTTCACATTCAAGTTTGCATGGACTCGGCCTGAAGCTGTGGCGCCTGCGGGAGCTCAGCGCCGCCCCATTCATGGCGGGCACAGGAAGTAAGGCCTCCCCTGCACCGGGCGTGCCTGGAGGACCGACTTTTGAGAATGAAGGGTGCAGCGCCAAAGGAAGGACCCCAGCCCTCCTACCAGCCCTCTGATCAAGAAAGGAGCGTTTCATTTCAGCCAGGCTGCAAGAAGGTCGCCTTTGTTTGTTTTTATCTGAATTGGTGCCAAAGGATTCGACTTTTCCTGCTCATTTTAGTGAAAACCCTTCTAAACAGCATTAATAGTTATAAAATGCCACATAAATGACAAACAGAGAGACTAAATGACATTCCCTGGGGTCAACTGCTAAGTAAGTAACAGAACCACGTCTTTGCACGATCAGATTCCCATACATCCCGATTAGGGACAGTTCCTTACCACGGAGGGTTTAATTAATATTTATAGATCATAGAATACCTCAGAAAGGGCCAGCAAGCTATTCCTATGACTGTCATGTCACACAAATTGCAAACCATTTGAAGATTGCTGCCTACTTTACATTTCGGTCTGAGAAATAAATTAACCTTTTGTGTGTGTGTGTCCCCATAGGTGTAGTGACAGCACAGCGTCAAGTTGCCGTCCAGGAAGGACCTTTGTACCGCACGGAGGGCTCCCACATCACCATCTGGTGCAACGTGAGTGGCTACCAGGGGTCTGCTGAGCAGAATTTCCAGTGGTCCATCTACCTGCCCTCCGCCCCCGAGCGCGAGGTCCAGATCGTCAGCACCGTGGACTCTTCTTTCCCTTACGCCATATACACCCAGCGTGTCCGCAGCGGGAAGATCTACGTAGAGAGAATCCAGGAGAACTCGGCCTTGCTGCACATCACCGAGCTCCAGGCCCGGGACGCTGGGGAGTACGAATGCTACACGCCCAGCACCGATGAGCAGTACTTTGGGAGTTACAGCGCCAAGATGAACCTAGTGGGTAAGGAGAGGGCTGTTTTTATGTGGCCCGGATGCTGCCCGAGTGTCACGGTCAGTTTGCGCTGTTGTAACAAAGTGCCATAGACCGAGCAGGTCGAACGACAGGCATTTATTTCACACAGCCTGGAAGCTGGGTGCCAGCCTGGTCAGTTCTGGGGGACCCCTCTTCCACGTTGGGGACTGCTAACTCTTCCCTGTGTCCTCACTTGGTGGGTGGGCAGGGAGTGAGGGAGCTCTCTGAGGTCCCTTTACAAGGGCCCTCGTCCCATTCACGGGGGCTCCACCCTCCTGACTAATTACTTCCCACAGGCCTTCTCCACAAATACCATCACACAGGGGACTGGATTTTGATTATGAATTTTGAGGGGACATGAACATTCAGTCTAGAATACCGAGTGACTTCCTTTAGAGCCCAGCTTTGTTTGACTTAAAAAAAAAAAAAAAAACCCAAACAAAACTTCCCCACACATTTTAGAGATAACCCAGTAACATAAATGAATCAAGTCTGTGTCCCTTTGTAAATAATACAAGGTTGTGGCTGAACTCAAAAAAGAGCTAAAGCAGATGTTACGTATATCAGAGAAAGTTAACTGGCCCTCTAGCTCGAGAAAGGGGATATGAAAATATAAGGCGAGAATGTTTGTGGTTGATGGTCTGCAGAAATGATGGGGATGGTGAAGCGTATGATACCAGTTGGAAGAGAGGCGAAACTTCTTGGACATGGGGCTTTGGACAGGCTCTGAGATGCCTCTGTGCTGCCCAATCAGGAAGTGAATGCAGCCGCCGTCCTTGTTCAGACCGGGCTTCTGGACGTCCCGGCCCCGTGCGTGAGGCATGTGTGCTGGCCGGCCGGTGATCCCCGGGTGATGGAGGGATCTCAGTGCGAAGGGTCACCGCTATTGAGGCCATTCTCTTTTGTTGCCCAGGTCATAATGCGCAGGCTTAATTGTGATTGTAAACGCTGGAATTGGCGACCCTTCCCGTTGGCAAACACTGCCGTTGCCCCACTCCCTCCGCCTCCAGCTTCCTCTGGTGACTTCTCCTTTCTCTGGCAAGTCTGGACTCCCGCAGGGCGCCTGCGCCCAACCCTGAGATGAGTGCAGTCAGGAAACACACACTAGCTGTGACTGGGGTGTCCTCGTCAGTCGGGGACGGACGGGTGTGTAGTCCCCAGGGGAAAATTCTGACCAAGGGACCACAGGGGACTCGTCACTTGCCTAAGTCACCCCCATACCGTGGCTTTCTTCCAGAGTAGACCACTTTGGCCAGTGAATGATTCAAAAATTGAACCTGTTAAAAAATCAAGGGTGACGATGCTTTTCTTTACCAAAATATTTATTTATTTATTTATTTATTGTGTACTCATTTATTTTTATGGTATTATTTCCCATTATCATTTATCCCCCTCATATCCCCACCCCACCAAAGTTTTTTGGTTTTTGTTTGTTTGTTTTTTAAATAGCCTCCCAGTGCAAGGCGTTGCTGAAGTCAATTGGGGAGGGCATGTCGGGGGGTGGCTGGAAGGGAGGAAAAGATAAAGTTGTTTAGAAACATAAAACTCCCCAAGTTCCAGGAACGATTCCATTTGAAGATCTTTCGGAAGCCAATTTCAAGTATCTTGAAGTAATACCAGAATCAACAATAAAATCCAATTTTGCCTAAAAGAAAATGCTTTTTACAAAGACTTTTCAGGGAGTTCACTTATTAGGCATGATGAAACACAACCCGCCTTTCATCTGAGTGTTATGAAAATAACAAAGCAGGTAAGAGTAGTTGCCAAAAACTTGCGATCCAAATCCGAACAGAACGTTCCTGTTTCTGTGCCGTCCGGGGTCGCCCACCGCCCTGCCGCGGTGGTTGAAGGCTGTGTGGGGTGGGGACTCTGTTGTCGTTACCTGTCGTTGAGTCGGCTCTGACTCTCGGGGACCCTGTGAATGAGTAACATCCAGTGCCCTGTCTTCGAAGCCCTGCTCAGCTCCTGTAAACTCAGGCCTGTGGCTTCTTTTATGGACTCAATCCATCTCATATTCAGGCTTCCTCTTTTCCTGCTGCCTTCTATTTTTCCCAGCACTATTGTCTTTTGCAAAGAACCCTGCCTTCTCATGATGCGCCCAAAGTAGGATGGCTTCCAGTTTGTCCCCGGGACTGTTAAGTTTCTGCAGCTTTGTAGTAACCATGCGTATGTCTGTGTTGCAGTGATCCCAGACTCCCTGCAGGCCACCGCCATGCCCCAGACTCTGCACAAAGTGGAGCAGGACCCGCTGGAGCTCACGTGTGAGGTGGCTACCGAGACGTTCCAGCACAGCCACCTGTCTGTGGCCTGGCTCCGGCAGAGAGGCAGCGAGAAGCCCGTGGAGGTCATTGCCCTGAGCCGCGATTTCCTGCTCCACTCCAGCAGCGAGTACGCCCAGAGACAGAGCCTGGGGGAGGTGCGGCTGGACAAGCTGGGGAGCAGCACCTTCCGCCTCACCGTCTTCCACCTGCAGCCTTCCGACCAGGGCGAGTTCTACTGCGAGGCCGCCGAGTGGATCCAGGACCCCGACGGCTCGTGGTACGCCATGGCCCGAAAGCGCTCCGAGGGCGCCGTGGTCACTGTCCAGCCCACAGGTCAGTCCCTCTTGTCCTCGTTCTCCACCTGGTGGCGAGGGTTTCAGACACGGGGAGGGTGTGCTGACGCCTTCTTTAGGGACCTCTGAAAGTGCCCTAGGTTTTCACAGGAAGTTAGAGACGGTCTGCCCTGAGAACCAGAGGAAGCTGAGGGAGGTATCAGCCCCAGCGGTCCTGAGACCTACCTGCACGTGAGTCTCAGAGAGGAGCTGGCTGATCCTGCTGACAGAGGTGGGCTCTTCAGCCCACATGAGTCTATGGTTTCTTTAACCTACACGGAATCTTACCATTTCTTGAACTACAAATTCGTCTTAAACATTGGGAGGTGTCACAGAAACCCTTTGTCTCTTACGGCTGGGTTCCCGTTAGTCACGTGCCTGCCGCCTTTGAGGGCATCGCCTGCTTCAGGTAGAAATCCTGCTTCCTTTCCAGAAGACGTTTGAGATTAGGTGCCTTCCATCAAGGCATGAAATCCTGAGCTAGAGAAATTTTGGCGTAAATGATTACTTTTTATATTATTTTGGTGGTGGTTTTGGATTTCCCGAAGGCTTTGTCCCTCTCAGCTCTTCAGAAGTTCTGGGAGGTGGGTAGGCGGCGGGGAAGGTGCTGGGCGCAGCGGCCTGGTGGCGCGGTCCCAGGAGGAGGCGCAGGGTGTGCTGTGAGGTCAGGCCTGAGAGCACTGCGTTTCACCGCCCAGGTCTTCTGAAGGGAAGGGCCTAGAACAGGGATTGCCTGAGGGCTGGGCCCAGGAGGCGGCAGCACCATGAGCGGAGATGCTCCTGCTCTTCCCGTTGTCCCCGCTTCCCCGCCCCATCGCACTGCACTCTTGTGCCATCCAGCTCCCAATTAGAGCCCAGAACTGCTGCTGGTGCCTCGGCTGGACTCGGGGAGGCTCTCGTGGGCCTTGGGTCCCCTGGTTTTGGTTGAGGGCAGTCATTGTGCCATTAATGAGGTATCATGAGTGGCCCAAGAGCCTTTCCTTGTGTTCTGCTGACCTCTGGTGACGGGCTCTTGCTGCCCTGGTGAGTGGAGCTGTGCTTTATGGGAGCAGTAGGTGCAGGTGGGGCTGCCTCATCAGGACCCGTTTCCTGGCCTCCCCGTCCCATTTGTTACGGTCAGTGGTCTTGGTCTTCACATAGTTCTTCTGCCACTTGTTCTTCTGTTGTTCTGGAGCAGAGCTTCTGATTTACCTAGCAGTGCAGGTTCCTGGGCCAGAACAGCACAGATTCCTGAGTCCGGCTCCCGGGCCGAGGCCTGGGAAGCTGGGTTTCCAGCATATCCTTCTTAGGTGATTTTTGCACGGTCTCTCTTTGGTCAGGCAGAGCTCTGGAGGTCAGAGGGCAGGAGTGAGTCTCTGGACGCCACGCGGTGGTGAGGGCTTTGTGAGAAGGGTCGGGGCTCCTGAGTTGGTAGCGCCTTATCTGCTCTGTGGGACCCAGAGCTTTTAGCAGCTTCTGGATCTTCCAATACTAAGAAATCTACAGAAGGTGCCTTATTTCATATTTATCTTTTCCCTTCTTGGATGGTTTTAATATCAGCTTCAAAAGCCTGGACCACATTTTGAGTCTTAATGCTTTTAAATTAGATTGAATCAGCTAATCTACTTTATTTTAATCTTACCAATTTGGAATTAGGAGTTTTTAAATTTGCCCAGCAAATGTATCCAGACTAAGCCAGCCAAAGAAAAACTCGATGGAATAAAAGTTGATGACTTCACTCTGGGTCCCTGTGCTGTTCTGGCTCAGTGCTTACAGCCCCAGCGTGGCCTTCTCACAGTTCATTTCAGCAACATCCTACGAGTCCCGGCAGCACTGAAGGTGTGGTGGCCGCGTTGGGGATTCAGAGGTGATTAGCACTTGGTCGTTGCACTCGGGGAGCTTGCGGATGGCCAAGCCAGTGGCTAAGTGGAGTGTGCCAAGGGCTACCCTAGTATTGTGTATAGAGCGCTCTGGGAACGCAGTGACTGCGAAGTGTTCTTAACAACAGTAAGTTTCGCTGGAGGGGGTTGCTGTTAAGGCACAGCCAGGAAAACCAACACGCTTGGGGACTTGAGCTGTGTCTTGAGAGTTGGCAAGAGAGCAGCAGCAGAAGCATGAGACTGTTTGACACGCTGGCAGGCAGAGAGAAGCTGCGTGTCAGGAGATGATGCCGAGTCCCAGCTGTGAGTGATGAGAGGAGGAAGGCAAGGTGACCGGAAGCCCCTCGTGCTGTAGTGTGGACCTTGGCCTTCACTCTGTGGACCAAGTGTTTTCAAGCTGTTCTTGGAACCTTAGAAACCCCTTAGCGGTCTGAGAGGTTCCGTGTGCGCGTGTTCATGTGCCTGTGTGCATGTCAGGGGTGCTGGAAGAAGGCATGGGACCCCCCCGATTCAGTCCCCCCTTGATTCAACCAAATGCTTCGTATATTGGGCACAGAAAAATTTGCATGAAAAAAAGAAGCCCTGACCCAAGAACAGTGGCCTCCACGGTGCAGGAGAGGGACTTAGCACAGATCCCGGTGGCTGCCCCTCAGCTCTGTTGCCAGAGCCGCAAGCCCCAGTCTCTCCATTCAAGACTGCACTCTGCTCTGCCCGCCCTCCCTCCCTCCGCCGGAGCCCAGGTCCCCTGACCGAGCCCTCTAGAATCCGCGTGCACACGTATGTCCGTCCGCACCTGGCTTTTGCTGGTGCGAGCTCAAGTGCTTCTCTGGAGGAGGTCAGCTGACGGGCCATGAGGAAACTCAGGCCGCTGATAGGACAAGCTTTGAGCTGAAGAACTGGGCCCTCATGCCAACGGCCACATGAGTGAGCTCGGAAGGTCCCTCAGCCCCAGGCAAGTGTTCAGATGCTTGTATCGTCTATTGTTACTACTGTGGATGTGTGTGCTGGTTGTGGGGTAGTAGCTGAAAGTAGGCACGTTGTCACATTTTACTCAAAGAGGCAATTCTCAGTTCCACGGAAAGTGTTTTAATGTGTAGATGAAATGAGGACAGGTTGGGAGAATAAAAATACAGTCAATTAAATGAAGGCTTTGAAATATTGGATACCAAAGATGTTCTAGAATGAGAAGCTCAAAGATAATGGTACATTATTAGAGTAAAAGAGAGGTCAGCAAACCATGGCTTGTGCCTTGACAACCTGTTTTTTGTTTTTTAAATAAACTGCAGATGTTATGACATTAAAAAAAAAAAAAAGGCAGTGCCCCGACAAGTCACATCTGAAAACCACTGCTGCAGCCCCCCCGCCGGGGGCAGGGGTGGAGAGCTTTAATCAAGGGGTGACCCAGTTAAATCTGGGTTTAAAAGTAAACCATGGAGGCCACCTAGAGGCAGAGTAAACAGGCTGGATCTGGTTCGAGAGGCCAGGTGAGGAAGAGCTAGTACGCCCAGGAGTAGGTGAGTGCCAGTGGCCTGGAGGGGAGGCAGTGAGCGGGTGCTGGGGGCCAAGGAGTGGGGGGCGCTGTGGCGGGGGGGTTCGACTGTGTCGGCACTGTGGCCGGGACGGGGGTGGCTCCTTGAACTGAAAGGAGGAGCTGCGAAGTCCTGCTCGAGGGCCCCTGTGTCCCCACGAGTGGCAGCACTGGCTGGCCTTTTTTTTTTTTCCTTCCTGTAAATAATAGTCAAGGAGTCCTTCCTGCAAGCAGACTCTTCTTATAGTGGCTCAGTATGTGAAACACCCAGCGTGTCGTTGGACATAGAGCTCGGCTAGATTTCAACTTGGGGATGAGGAAGGACCAGGAAAACAGCCGCAGGATGAAGTGTTAGCGGAGCAGGTCCCAGTGAGAGAGAGAGAAACCGAGTGGTCAGGCAAGAGGAGAAGCCGGAGGGAAAGTGCCCTGGAGCCCCAGGCAGGGGGCGGGGCTGGAGGCGGGGCCCGCTCCAGGAAAGCCTTTGGCTGTGATGGGGGCAGAGAGGGCATCCGTGTATCTGCCAGGTCAGGGAAATGTGGAAAGAGGGCGGGAAGCCAATTTCAGGGAGCCAGGGAGTGAGGGGGTTATTGGAAAAGGCATAAACAACTTCTAGAGGTTTAACTGCCTGGGTATAAGCAAGAGCAAGTTGCTGTGCAGACAGGAGGGTGGAGCCTTGAAGCCATGTCTCCAGCCTGGGGCCATACGGACTTCCTGGTGGTGGGGCCTTGCATGAGGTCTTAGGCTGCCAGAAGAACGGCACAGTGGGCCTACCCTCAAGGAAACGGGAAAGGTCAAGGTCTAGGACACCTGTTTGCACCGCTTCAGGGGCATTTTTGTGGAAGGGGGGCATTTTTATCATTGATTTTGAGATATAAATTATTGTAATTTGGTTGACCAGAGAGCAAGTGTCTGGCAGGCAACATGGGCACAATCCCATGTAGGTGAGTCCATCTACACAGAGGGGGACAACAAAACCTGCCTCTTTCAACCCTTAGGACTAGTCCCTGGGGAAGGGAAGCCGAGGCAGCAGCCGGCATACTGAGGGTGAGCCCCTTTGGAGCTGTTGACCGGTTTGTGTTGTTAGGGAGTGTGGGGAGTAAAGCTAATTTACTGGGGGAAAAATAGGTGTTTGGGGCAAGACACGGCCATGTGGGAGGGGAGGGGACAGAGAGCCTGGGACAAAGCCAAGCTGGGGCTGGAGAGGAGGAACGGGGAAGCAGGACTCTCGTGATGCCTGTGTTTTCTCAGGGAAAAAGGATTTTCCTTTGCTTGCGGAGAGCGCGGGGTGGGGAGTGCAGGTGGATCAGGGGCCTGAAGATCGCGCGAGAGGCTCTGACATGCCCGTGGAGGGAAGGTCATTGAGGTGGGAGCCTATGGGGAATTAAGGTGTCCCTTTAAAGTGATTCCCCCTCCATGTTCTTAGATGGACAGCTGGAAGGGGAGGGACTTGGGCAGTGGTTACAGCTTCGGCCTCCCCTACCCACGGTTCCTTGTTCTGTTTTCTAGAACAGAATGTTTTCTCCAACCCTTGACTCCTTTGTCTTACCCACCCCACCCCATGGGTGCCTATGAGGTAGGAGAACTGTCCATGGGCGTGACGGTTACCACGCTCCATTGCACAGAGTACTGGGACAGGTTAGTGGGGATGACCTCCCCCCCGCACACCTCCCCTTCCCGCCACATTAGACACCAGCTCTTTGGAGGGGGCGTGGCTTCGTTGGCCATTTCAGAGGTGTTCTGGCTTCTGCTGCAAATAGGTACCTTTGGCTACACTTTAAGGTTTGTCAGGTGGTGGCTACTGAAAAGCCTTTAGTTTTCATTTTTCCTGTGTGCTTTTGTTAGGGTCAGTCTTGCTTGAGTCTTATTTCCAATATTCACGTGGGGGTGAAGAGTGTACTTCAATATACTAATTTCTCAGTTTATTAGGATTGGGGGTCAGCACCAAGGCCGCTGTATACTTCTGTCTCACGCACCCCAGTGGGGTAAGTCCTGCTCTGTCTGCTGAAAGTACGCGCAGTCGTGTCGCTCAGTGGAGTTCTGGGTGTAGAGGTCAGGCTAGACCCACCACGCGCTATGCCATGTAGCTGATATGCGGGGTTCCTTACAGACCTTCGGGGGTCAAGTCTAGAGCAGTGTAGGCCGCAGACAGAGCCCGTCGGTCTCGACCCGGGTAACGGGCCCTTCAGACTGGGTCTGGCTCCCTTGAGCTTCCTGTGTGACGTCCAAGGATTTCTCAGACCGCCTGGGTGGGAGCTGGGTTTTTTCCGGCTCAGGTCGAGTGCAGTGGCAGGTCCCTATGGATGGCACTGGAAGAAGGCACAGGTGGCGGGGCCGTGCGGAGGCCGCCTGCGTAGCTGGCATCCTCCGTCACCCGGAACGCGCCGTCTTGTGGTTTTTTTCAGACAAAGAGTTCACCGTTCGTCTGGAAACGGAGAAGCGCCTGTACACCATGGGGGAGCCGGTGGAGTTCAGGTGCATCCTGGAGGCTCAGAACATTCCTGACCGTTACTTCGCCGTCTCCTGGGCCTTCAACAGCTCACTCATTGCCAGCATGGGGCCTAACGCTGTGCCCGTCCTCAACAGCGAGTTCGCCCATCGGGAAGCCAGGGGCCAGCTCAAAGTGGCCAAAGAGAGCGACAGCGTCTTTGTGCTGAAGATCTACCACCTGCGCCAGGAAGACAGTGGGAAATACAACTGTCGTGTGACAGAGAGAGAGAAAACGGTCACCGGGGAATTCATCGACAAGGAGAGCAAGCGTCCCAAAAACATCCCCATCATAGTCCTCCCCATCAGTAAGTGGGGGGACACGCTGCTCCCTTCTCCTCCCCTCACTGGTCTGGCCCAGTAGCTGGCATCGCTGAGAGGTCAGGGGAGAGAAGGACACTGTGCTGGAGGGGCGGGGCAGGCGGGGCAGGTGGCACTCTAGGGTTCAGGCTGGCAGAGAAGCCCGGGCAACGGCTCCCCTTCCCTGGCTCACCTGCCACCCTTGGCAGCCCCCCAGGAGGGCCGAGCATCGGGGCTGTGTTTGCACCTGGAGGGCTTTGCAGGCCCCGGTTCTAGCAGCTTCAGCTCAGCTGGGAGGAATTCAGGACAGCTGTTCACTCCTTTGTGGGAATTAAGTCCCAGAACAAGGGAGAAGATGCGTATTTTGATGTCTCCCTTAAGAGGGTAGGTCTTTTAGCGGAGGATTTTAAATCAGAAAGCTCATTATTCAGAAGGATTTGCTCTGTGGGTTTTGAGGGGAGAAGGGTTGCCATTTCCCTATTGAAACTGTGTTTTTAAAAGTCAGTGGCTGGGGTGTCTCGCATCTTCCTGGAGCATAGACTTCAAAGCCTCGCTGGTTTCCCAGGCTGCTCAGGTGGGCTCCTTGCCCCCATGGAAGCTGGGTTGTCTGGGTGGGTCACGGTCATGGCTGGGACCCGGGGGACTGATGACCTGTGTTTGCCTGTGTTTAATCATCCATAGTATCGGGGTCCTCTTTTAATATCTCATTTCTCTCATAGTTCTGTTTTTAGTAAAAGGAGAATTAAAAACCTTACAATGCTCTGATTTTAAACAAGATGGTGAAGTTTTTAAACTAACCATTAACCTTTTCTCGACTGCTCAAACTGTTCTCTTACTTTTGCCATGATTCCCTTTTTCATTTTTATTTACACTTTCACATTTTTAATATAGTCCTCTTCAAGTATGAAGAGAAAAGAAACACAAGGGGTCTTACCGCTCTTTTTTCCTTTTCTCACCAATAGGATTACTTTCTGTTCATGCTTTTTTTTTTTTTTAAATCACACACACACACCTAATTATCTTGAAATTCTTTTGTTACTAGACTTTTTCCCACCCTGCAGTGCCTAGCATGTTGCTTTGCATAGGGTAGGTGCTTGCTGAATATTTATAGAACTGAAACTGTGGAACTGAATGCCCACTCTCTTCACTGTTTTCCTGTTGCTCAGTGCTTGCTTTAACCATGGACTCTCTGCTTTTAAACTTGCAACTAATTCCTCATTGTTTTGTAAGGATCCAGTGAAGGGCAGCCACACTGTTGACCTCCTATATCTTTTGTGCTAAGAAATTGCCCCCAACCCCTTCCAAGAACTTGTTTGATGATCTGTGGCCTGCTATATTGCTTTTCCAGCAGATGACTGGGTAGTTAAAGTCCCCCAGAACCACCAGATCCTGCCCCAAGGCCACTTGGGTAAGTCTACCAAAGAAAACAATCACATCGGTAATGGTGATAATACCTTGGATTTTAATGGCGCTTTTCCTCCCGGGAGCCCAAAGTGCTTCTGCGTCTATCGTCTCCTTCTCCGCTCCCACCCCTCAGACCCCTGTAGAGGCCACTATGGTATCCATCCTGTGAAGGAAGAAGCCAGAGCACTGTCCAGAGATGTGGCTGAGCCAGTTCCATTAGTGGTTGAGCTTGCGTTGCATTAGAAATGTTTGCTTCTAACTCCACATCCACTGCTCTGCGCTTAGCCTGTGCTGCGTCGTCCACCTCCTGATTTGAAATCTCATTCGCGGACATGCACTCAGAGTCTCCTTAGTCCTCCCCTGGTTTGCACTTAATCCGGAGTGTTGTACATCGTCAGCTGCCTTTCCTTGGGCTCAGAAACACTTGTAAATAGCCTCGCCCGGCAGTGTCTGCACCTGTCTTTGCCTGGGCTGCCGGAAAGGAGTGCTGCCTCACAGTCCCATGTTCTGAGGCTGCCGTTTTCCAGGCTCACTGGAGCAACAGAGCACCAAAGAGCAGCCTTTATAATAACAAGCCAGGGCTTACACAAGAGTTCACCGGGTGACAGTAGGGAACAGGAGTGACACCCTGCAGGTCCTTCTTCTGACTGAGGCCAGCAAAGAGATTTGTTTCCTTTGATGCTGAAGTTGCCCTTTTAATTCCTCACTTGGAATTGATAACACTGGGGATGAGTCTTCAATCTCAAGAGGAATGTTGTTAGTATTAATGATGAGATGAACAACAGTGACCTCATCTAATGCTCTCAGTGTGCGACCCTGAGAAGTCGGTGCTATTTTATCGATCTCTATTTTGCATATGAGATCTAAAACTTGGGCAGGGTTAGGTAGGAAGCCAGGATTACAGCTTTAGAGCCCAGGCTGTCTCCAAATCCTTGTTTTTAGCCACCAGCCTTACTGCCTCCGGGAATATTCCCTGCATGGCTCCTGGGAGGTTGCCCTCCTGGGAACATGCCTGTTCTCCACCTTGTGGAGGGGTTTGGTTTTTTTTTTTCCTTTTTTTTTTTTTTTTTTTTTTGGTTTTTGTTTTAGTTTTTTCCTTATACAACAAGCCAATCCAGACTGGGGAGCAGGTATACTCACCATAACCAGAATACACTCAGGAGCCCAGCGCTCATCTTTGTCTGTTCCTGCCTGTCGGGGAATGCAGGGGAGAAACCTCTCATGGGGCTGGGCGTGCTTCCCTCTGTCATTGGGTGTGCCTCTTAATCTGGGACTTGATTTCATTGATTGATTTAACATTGTCATGTCTGTTTCACGCGGGTGGTGCCCAGAAAATGGGAACCAAAAGTTAGTTATGGTATTTTGGGTTTTTTGTCCTTATTATGGCTTTTTGAGCTTAACATAGATAACTATACACAATGTTATACTCATGATTGAGATATATTAGAATATCCAGGATGTTTACAAAAACAAAGAGTTATTGGGAATAATAAAGTCAGTCATGATCATGACCAACTTTTGAAAATGTAGTATGTTTTAGATGATTTATATACATGTCTCATTTATTTTTTAATCTTTAAAAAAACGACATGAGATCATTAACACTCTCCCTGTCTTATAAAAGAAGGCATGTAGAGTTTAAATAATTTGATTGAGTGAGTTCATACTGCTAAGTGGGCAGCAAAGAGTGAAGGCCGTGGAATCCTTATCCTGAACTTTGGCAGAATGTTTCAAGGTCAAGAGCAGTGGAACCCCAGGGCGAAGTGTCTCAAGCCAGCAGCTTAGGTCTGTTCCTCAGTGTTAACCAAAGGGTGAAAGCTCGCTCCCCACACACCCTGTGAACCTCGACGGTCTGTACCAGTAGTGTCCACACTCCAGCACGCAATATCTTCCAAATGCTTCCTGCCAGTTTTTTCCTACTTCCTAATATTGTCCCAGAGGGCTCAAGTGGCACATTCTGGACGTCAGCTTTTATTTGACTCCATAGCACCGAATGGTGGGAGTAGAATTTTTTAGTAATTTAACTTAGTAACAATCCAAATTGGAAATCCTTGAACCCCAGCTGAACAAATAACCTGGTCAATTGTTTTATGCCCTCAGCGCAGTGGCACTGTGTTGTGTTGCTTAGGCTCCGATTCAGTCCTAGGCCTTAGACGCTCATTCTCCTTGCCCTCGCACACGGCCCAGGGCCTCCTTAGGCTATCAGAGCCAGGGCCTTGCGGGGCGGTGCCCAGAACCAGCAGGGCTGCCCCATCCAGACTCAGTGTTTCATCCGCCAAGGTCCCCTGCACCTGGGGAGGATGGCGTTGGCACCCATCCTCCTTTTACCTTTCTGCGGGAAGGGCACAGACGAGACACGACAGCCCCAGCGTGCACTCTCTCCCTGTCTCCAGAGAGCAGCATCTCCGTGGAGGTGGCCAGCAATGCCAGCGTCGTCCTCGAGGGCGAGAACCTGCGCTTCTCCTGCACCATCCGCACAGCAGGCAGGCTGCAGGGCCGCTTCTCTGTCATCTGGCAGCTGGTGGACAGGCTGAACCGGCGCAGCAACATCATGTGGCTGGACCGGGACGGCACCATGCAGCCGGGCGCATCATACTGGGAGCGCAGCAGCTTCGGGGGCGTCCAGATGGAGCAGGTGCAGCCCAACTCCTTTAGCCTGGGCATCTTCAACAGCAAGAAGGAGGACGAGGGCCAGTACGAATGCCACGTGACCGAGTGGGTGCGGGCAGTGGACGGCGAGTGGCAGGTCGTGGGGGAACGTCGGGCCAGCACCCCCGTCTCCATCACGGCTCTCGGTGAGTTAAATGTCCGCATCTTTCAGCAGGGCCTCCGGGGAGGCTGCTCCCTTGTCCAAGAACCTTACCTTGACTTTTGTCACTGAGAGTCCTGCCAGGAAACCCAAGGCACTTTCAGAGGGTTTAATGGAAGGAACATTCTACAGAAGCACAGGCAGAGTTGAAGGAACCAGCAAGGCGTGGTGGGGCACCTGGGGACCCGTGACAGCTGGGAGCTGTTGGCACTCATGGATGATCTGGGTGGTGGGAGTGAAGTTATGGGAAGTCTGGGCAGAGGAGCGAGGCCACTCAGCTGGAAATGGGGACCCCAGGTAGCGGGACGTGGCCATCTTCAAAACCGGCCTGAAGAGCAGGAACAAAGCTGTGAAGCTGCTCTCTCCTGCCCCCGAGCTCTCCTGCCTGCCGCCCGGGCATGAGCCCCATGGAAAGTTCAGAGCAGAGCAGAGAATCACCTGCTCTGGTGGGTAGAGAATCACCTTTCGCCATTCACTTAGCACTTACTATGTTCCTGGCTGAGTCTGGGCACCTAGCCAAAGAGGTAGACGCTTTCCTGTTACAAGGAGACTGAGTGAGACAGGGTAACTCACTTGCTCAGGGCTGTAACTTCTCAATGACAGACCCCCAATGTGAACACAGGAAACCAGCGATCTGTCTTAATTGTTTTTCAAAGCCTGTGTTCTGTTCTCCTCTCTAAGGCCCCTCCTTAAGAAAGCTATTTCCTCGTTAGCGTGAAATTAAAAGATACCTTGAGGTTTGCTAAAACCAAGGAATATTAGATTTGTTTCTCATGGGGTACTTAAAGAGGCTTCTATCCACATTTATCTGCCTAATGTAATCAGTGTGTTACGTTTTAAAAGGTCGTCCGCTCCTTTGCTGGGAAGGTAACTTGTCACGTTAGGTCTTGTGTTTATCAGGAGACTCTGACATCACTTGCCCTGGTGACTTTGTGCCCCGCTCCCTGACGCCATGTTACCTCCTTCCCTGCGGGTAGGGCTGCTGGTGCTGTTGAAAGGCCTGCAGCCGTGAGTGGTTTTGCCCCCCACAGAGTCCTCCATTTCCACGAGACCCCCAGATTAGAATGACATTCTTTTTAAAAACTTACTCGCAAAGATAGACCTGCTTTCTGCGGTAATCATACCGTTCAGACTGCCGTCTCTAGAAACTTCACCCAGCGTGCGGTTTCCCGATCAGCCGGCCCCCGAGCCTGCGCTCAGCACCGGCCTGCGCCTGTGGAAGTGGGACCTGGGAGGCCAGTGGTAGTGTCTCCCACGCTGTGAGGGTAGGGCCCGCTGAGGAGTGGTTAGAGTTTGTCGGGACTGTTTCTCTAGAAGTAATTTTACCATCTCAGGTTGTCCCCTGAAGTTTTTCATACTCAGCATGTGGTTCCCGCAGCCCAGGACCCTGACCTGGGATCCTGGATCCTGGAATCCTGCACACCAAAAGGTGGCCAGTGTGATTCCCAGGCAGGGCGCATGCCTGGGCCGCGGGCCAGGTCCCCGGTTGGGGGCACGTGAGAGGCAACGGATCCACTGTCTGTCTCACAGATTGATGTTTTGCTCCTGTTCTCTCTTCCTCCCTTCCCCTCTCTCTGAAAAATAAATAAATAAAATCTTTAAAAATAAATAGGAAATGTAAAGATAGCTCATGAAATCTAATTTGAAGACCCAGACTTCAGCAAATCATGCGTACCTATTTGCTGACTTTACCTCCCCATAGAAAGCCAAAGGTTCCTTCAGTCACTAGTCTTTTACCTCCAGAGTTTGAAGTACTTTCTTTTATGGCTCTTTGTTTAGCAAAATACATATTTTTTAAATAGTGTCATTTATACTGTGTGTCAGGCACCATCTCAAGTCTTTTGCAAACATGAACTCCTTTCATCTTTGCATGGACCCATTTTACAGATAGGGAAATAGGGGCAGAGAGAAGGTAAGTAACTTGCTCAGAACACACAGCTAGGAAGTGTCAGAATTGGGCAGCAGGCTCCAAGGTCTGTGCCTTTAACCGCTGCCATATGCTTTCCATGGGACACGCAGCCTCATGAGGCCCCTAGAATCAGCAGGCTTGTAGCCTGACTCTGCTGTTTACGGGCAGCTCGACACGGGGCTACTTGTTTAGCCTCTGTGTGCCTCGGCGTCCTCACCTGTAAAAGGGGATTAGTCTACCCGTCCTCAAGGTCGTTGTGAGGATACGGTGAAGTGTGGGGAAAGCAGAGCAGTTGGCGCCATGCCTGGCACAACGGGAGTGCCCGGTAAGTACTGACCACTCCGTTTTATGATCATAGCCAGCGTATGAATGTTAAGTCGCAGTTCAAGGCTGAAGGGGTTGGGGTCACTCATACTGAGGACGAGTACTGTTCCTCGTTCAGTAGGGAACAGGGAGAGACCCAGCCCACCGCGGCAGCAGGAGCCCGCCCGCCCAGGTCCCCACCTGCTGGAGGTCACTGTCTCCTGCCGTGGGTCCCTCACCGCCTCTCTTCCCCGGATTTCAGGAGGAAGGTGGAAAAGGGACCGGTGACCCAGCCCGCGCTGCCCAGCCTGGGAACACAGGACACCTCTCCCACCTGACCCCATTCTCCAGCGCCGACGTACTGGTGGACCAGGCAGAGGGGCCGGGGCGGGGGGCGGCTGGGGGGATGCGGTCACTTCGCAGTGGATGAAGGGAATAGCTTTCGGGCTTTTTTGTCCTGCATTAGCCTGGGACCCCAAGATTCCTAGGAGTGGCCCTGCAAAAGGCACGGATGGAGTGCGAACTGAGACAGGTCCTCCAGCTCCCGAACCCTGATGGCCGTCGCGAGGGCCTCGTCAGGAAGGGATTGGCAGTGCTGCTCGAGGAGAATAGCCCCGGCCTCCTTCCGTGGGGTCTTGGGAAGGGCGGGTTTGTGCTGCCACACGATGGCTAACGTCACACTGGCCTGGGCATCAAAACAGACCCCTGAGCCTTTGCCCCGCCAGCTCTTGCCAGGAGCCCCATCACCGCGCCTCACCACCCTAAGAAAACCACGTGACTCCTCTGGCTTGAGCCTCTCTGCTCTCTCTCCAGAAACGGGCTTCGCGGTCACAGCCATCTCCCGGACGCCGGGGGTGACCTACAGCGATTCCTTCGACCTGCAGTGCATCATCAAACCCCACTACCCGGCCCGGGTCCCGGTGTCGGTGACCTGGCGGTTCCAGCCGGTGGGCACCGTGGAGTTCCATGACCTGGTAACCTTCACCCGGGACGGAGGAGTCCAGTGGGGGGATAGGTCCTCCAGCTTCCGAACCCGAACGGCCATCGAGAAGGCTGAGTCCAGCAACAATGTCCGCCTGAGCATCAGCAGAGCCAGTGACACGGAGGCGGGCAAGTACCAGTGTGTGGCGGAGCTGTGGCGGCAGAACTACAACAACTCCTGGACACGGCTGGCCGAGAGGACCTCCAACCTGCTGGAGATCAGGGTGCTGCAGCCAGGTAAGGGCTCGGGCCCACGCGTGCGTTGGGCGGTGAGACACGTGGGGAGGGAACGGCATGTGTGCACTGAGCTGTCGGCGTGGCCACTTTGACATCCCAGCGTTTGATGTTGAGAAATTTCATATCTTTGGGAAGTTGAAAGAATTGTTTTCCCTTTTCTTGATGGCCAGTTGTTAGTGTCTTACCGGCATTTGCTTTCTCCCTCTGGGCATTTTGCTACTGTTGCTTTTGAACCACCTGAGGACATGTTGATAACATTGGAGCACTTCCTCCTGAATCCTTGAGCGTGTACCTCCTAAGCACAAAGCCACTCATGATTATAGGACGTTACTAACATTTTCCCGGTCGTCCCAAATTCCTTCTGTAGTTTTTTTCCTTTCAAAACAAATCCAACCAGTCTATTTAGATTTATTTAATTTAGAGCAGCCCCATGGCTGTGTGTGTGCGTTCAGACACCGGCATTTATGAAAGTGTCCAGACCAACTGTTTTGCAGGAAGCTCTGTCTCAATGTCGTCGCCTGTAATCCTTGCCATGTTGATGTGAACGAGGTACCATAGTCCCCAGTTTGCAGACAAGGAACCTCAGAGTGGGGAGGGAAGAAGGACCTCACTGAGGTCCCTTACAGAGGACCTGCCTTGTGCTAGGTGCTTAGGGTGGTCACTTTATTAGAATTTCACAGTCACCCCAGGAGAGATGGACTCGCGTGGCAGCACGTAGCTGATGAGGGGTGGAGGTAGGGCTGGAACCCTCGCCTGCCTTTCTCATGCTGGTGTCCTGACCCAGCCCTGTCCTCCTGCGCTGAGTTTGAGCTTCCTTCTTCCGCGGGGCTGAGTCTCTCTTACAGCAGCTGGGGAGGAGGCACTAGTTTGGGGAGTCTAGTGTGGGGTGGTTTCTGCGAATACTCTCACCTTCCCCGGGCCCTTCCTCTCACACGGAAGCGGTCAGGTGCAGCGGTCAGGTGCCTGCCGCCGCCAGGGTTTCCTCGGTGTCCGCCTGCTGGGCTGCTCAGCTGGAAGCGGGCGAGGGCGGAGCACAGGCCATGGTCCCGCCCCCGGGCCCCAGAACAGGAGAGTGCAGGCGTCCACCACGCGGCGAAAGGAGGGGGTTGGAAAGGAGGTGATTTTGCAAAGATTTTTTTAAAAAAAATTTCTGACACACCCACTTTGGGAGGATGTTTTTCAGCACCTTACAGGAAGATGTCTTCCTTCCGCCCGCAGCCGTGGTTAGTGTCCAGCCCAGCCTCAGATGGCTATCGCGTTGTTTTCAGCAGCGTGAGGTGACAGAAAGGTCATGTCTGAGCCTTCTCTTCATCTCGTCCGACACCTTAGGGAGTCCTGTTCTGTCCCAGAGTCTGGAACAAATGAGTTGTAGAAGTAAAGGGACCTTTCCTTGGCCAGTCAGAGCCCTAACCTGGATGACAGGATGGTTGGGGAAGTGCTGTTGCACTTCAGTAGATTTTCGGGGAGAGGCGCCATTTCTGGGGAGCTCTCGCTGAGGGAAGCGCCCAGGGACGTGCTTGCGTGCCCTCCTGGGTAGAGCTGCAAGGTCGTCATTGCACCTCCTGGGGTCTCCTCCCGCCCTGAGGTCGGTGGTGTGAGCAGCGGCGCCTGTCACATGGGTCTGCAGCCTAGAGGGCAGAGGAGGTGCTGACCCCAGGGCCTTGCCTGACGTTGCCTTTTTGCATAAATCCCTAACATGTGCTTGTTTCCGTTGCTCCTTGGAATCTAAGACTAGAGCTTGTCTGGGAAGAATAAGGAATTAATTTATCGAAGGTCCGAGTTGTTTTGATTCTGATCCATCAGTGGGGTTACTGAGAGAGACAAGGGCCAGAAGCGTGCTCAGTACCTCTTGGTGCCAGGCTTTGTGCTTGGTACTTAGGTTTTCTCTTCCAGTCCATCCTCCGGTGAAGCGATGGAGGTGTTTGTATCCCCACTTTGGTTTCCCCAGGAGGTCACCAAGGCTCCCCGTGTTTAGGAGCCTTGATGGAGGCGAGCCAGCTCGGTAAGTGGGAACCTGGCCCTGGAACTGAGATTGGAGCCCAGGTCTCTCAGGTGCCCCTGTGTCTCCATTTTCCATTATCCCATGTTATTGCCTCCTGCCTAGAAAGGTGGCTGGAGAGCTAGGACCCGCTCTGAGGGCTGTCTTTGTGTCTGGTGTGGCCGAGTTGGTTGGTTTGTGTCTTCACTGTGAAGAAAGGTCCCGCGCTGCCCTCATGCTGGGCTGCTCACTGGGAGGCCTGCACCCAGAGGTGCCCAGTCGCGCGCTTTCGGGGCGCGGTCGGCGCCGAGGCCACACCCTCCAGGGAGGCGCCAAAGCCCCGGGAGAGTGCATCCCTTAAGTGTTGCTATCTCTTCTTTATGAAATATTGATGCTTTAGCACTTAATATTTTCCAGAGAGCTTCATGGTCGTTGTTGCTGTTTCCCACACACTCTGGTTGGTGCAGGAGCTTTTATTTGGGGGACGCAGAAGTGGAAGAATACCAGGCGCCTGGCTCTGTGCCCGGGACCGTGTTGACATGTGGTGTGCGACCTCCCTCCACCCTTCCTGCGGCCGTGGGAGGGAGCCGTTGCTTCCCCGTTTTGGAAATGGAGTGAGTGGGGCTCGGGGAGGTTCAGGCTTGTCGAAGTCAGACACACAGTGAGTGGGAAGTTGGGATTGGAACACAGGAGGGCTTTATTAAAGAGGAGGTGAAGCCTTTGACCCTTTTTAAGGCCGTATCAGCAAAAATTGTTCCTCTGTATTCATTAACAATCTCATTTACAGAAGGGATCACTCTTTTTCAATATTTTTGTAAATTTATTGATTTTAGAGAAAAAGAGAAAGGGAGAGAGAGAGGAACATTGATTTGTTGTTCTACTTATTTATGTACCCATTGGTTGATTCCTGTATGTGCCCTGACCAGGGATCAAACCCACAACCTTGACATATTCAGCCAGGGCAAGAAATCACTCTTTGTAGATGCCTGATGTGAAGAGTCCAAGCCTTGGCAGCAGTAGTAGCCACAACAGTGGCAGCTAATACATATTTGGCCCTTCTTGTGTGCCCACTGCGATCCCAAACACACGATGTGTGAAAACTTGCTCAGTTCTTCCTCTTCCATGCAGTCAGGGGGGCCCGGGCGAGGGGGAACTGAGTCACCCATCTTAGAGATGCGGACGCTGGCACAAAGGTTGACTGGATTACCCGATGAGCCACAGGAAGGGGCAGAGGCTAGAGGGAGAGTCAGACAGGCGGGCTGGCCCCAGAGTCCAAGCTCTTAATTTTATTATACAGTATTATGGTATTTTCTAGACAGCTCTTTTTTTTCCTCCCCTCAGGAAGCCTCTTTGGTACCATGTACTTTTCTTCAGTTTCTATTCTGCCTGGTTTACCATCCCTGACTTCCTGATCTCCTTTAGCAAATACTTGTTTTTTTAAGTTGGGGCCACAAGGTACCCGTAGAAGTTCCTTAAAACGTGGCTTGCCGACGGGGTAGGAGTTTGATTTGTGCTTCCTCCAACTCTTCCATTCTTCTGATTTCTGCCACAAGGTGGCTCTGAGACCTGGGGACACCAGAGCTCCAAAGCAGGGCTGGCTTCTCTTCTTTTTCCTCTCTGTCCACACTTTGCCCTTCAAAACAGGGATCTTCCATAGGAAGGTCTCCCACCGCCTGTCTCCCAGCCCATTTTGAGACCATCTTGTTGAAAATTCTCATTCTAACAGAATCAAATAGAGAGAGAGGGCCTGCTAGCTCCCTGGCCCATTTATCAGCTTCCCCCGTGGCTGTCATCAGCTCCCCAGAAGGCGCAGCGTGGCCTGCGCCCCGGCCGGCCCCTGCCTCCCGCTGGCCTGGCCGCATCGCAGGTCCTCCGTTCGTCAGGGTCTGCGGCTGGATGGCACCGCCCATCTGTTGCAGGTCTGTCATCGACCGCTCTGCGCGCGAGCTTCCCATTCGCTGTGCGCATCCCCGGGGACACCCTCAGGGAGTGCCGTCGCCCCCATTCTGCTGTGGCTCCTGCTCAGCCTCCCTCCGCGGAGGGCAGAGTGTGAGCCCCGAGGCGCATTTACGCAAGATTTTAAGCCAGTTCAATATATTCAATTCTTATTTCTTAATTCTTTTCTCTTTTAATTTTGAAGCATCACTTGGCTTCCTTCTGATTTTCTGTAGCACCAGAACACCGTCCGATTACATATTCCTAAATACAGAAGCAGTAAGGGGAATGTCAGCACCCATTCTCCAATGTTTATGACCATTCCTTGGTCTGGCTATTAAATATTGCACATGAAAATTGACAAAGCAATAAACAAGCTTCCAGGACGACAGCCTCCGGTCTAGAAAGCCAACTTGTCAGGGGATGTATTCTGCTGGGATTTCACTGATGGGTAGTTGGGATGAATATTTAATACCCTCTGGATGCTGCCAAATCTGTTTTCTCCAGTTTCTTACTGCTGACCTAGCAGACAGGGAATGCTGAGGGCTTTTTGTTTGACTTCTCTGAGTCCAGGGCATGTGACAGTGTCTCTCCTTGTCACATAGTCTAGCAGGTGACAGGCTGCCTCAGCCTTCAGAGGGATTAGCCCCTGCTTTCTTTCAGGAAAGCCTGGGCTTTTTCTTCTGCCCTATGTGCCTGTGGCTTCTGCCTGCTGGGTGCTCAGAGATGGGGGGAGTGCTGCCACCCGCGGGCCTCAGTGTCGTGGTGACGCCGGGTGCATCTGTTTGGGCTCAGTGAGCTAGGGTCCTGCTCTGTCTGCACACAGGTAAGGCAGACAGGGCATGTCCGGGTTACTCCTAATAAGCTGTTTCTACTTCCAAACTTGTGTTACTTTCTCCTCGCTTCTCCCTCCCAGTGCCTTCTGGAAGCATGTTTGAGTGCCTGCTGGGTGCCAGTTTCCCTGCCGGGCGCTGCGACTGCAGCGATGGCTGTGTCACGGGTCTGCCCCGCGGGCTGTCCTGGGAAGAGAGGAGCGCGGGGGAGAGTTTCAGGGGCGGTAGTGGGGCCGGTCCCGGGTGCGGGCTGT